TGACAATGTAATTGTTATTGCAAATGGGAAAAAAAAAGTGTCATAGACAGAACTCAACTGCGTTACTGCAAATGCTCCACTAAGGAAGGCATGGGGCACAAGGAAAAGAGGGAATTGTGCGGAGGGACAGCATGACATGGGGAGAAGGGGAGACAGGTACATGAGGGGTTAATTGGTTAAGGAAAGATAAGCAAGGAAGGAGGGGCCGCTTACCGTGATTGGAGGACAGTGGAAGAGGGGTGGAATTTCTAAGTGTGGAATCCTGGGAGTGGGAAGGAAGAGTTCAGAAGGAAAAGTTAAGCCAGGAGAAGGTTTCCCGCCCCCTCAATGAGGAAGGACAAGACCTTGGTCAGAGAAGAATGTCCGGCCGGCCTGTGGCACCTCTGGGGAATAATCCTCCACAGGCATGGACGGACAGCAATGGTTGTCTTGTAATGATAATAAGAAGATCTTTTTGGAAGAAGGATACTGTTGCTGTGTATTTTGATGTGTCAGGAGATCAGTCATAGGGACTTGTAAAGGTTCTGAAAGGTCCACTTTATGTAACGCCCCCTCTATGTACCCCACGTGGAAAAGAAAGAACTGAGAGTGTTTGATGCTTCAGATTTTATTGATTATTGTAGAGATTTCATCATTCTCAATTTATTAATCAGAGAGTTTACAATGCCGGCATTTGTTTTCCCAGCAAGGCCTTCTGCTCATCTTGGTGCAATCACTGCTTGTATGTGTGATAACAGAAGAGACATCTAATTTTTTTTGCATCCATCGCCATACTGGCTCAAGTCCTTTCCTTTGCACTTATAAACCCAGGAGTTCCTGCAAGTCAGAGATACACGTAAATTACAAACGTATCCATCATTCTTTATTCAACCTGAATGTTCTAAACAGTTTTGGCACCATGATCATAAACTTTAACATTCCTTGTTACCAGAATCTGTTTAAAGAGAACCAGTCACCAATGGGCATCAGTAATACTTTTAGTTTCCATGCTGGAAGTGTTATTATAGCACAGGGTTTTAGGGGGGTCCTTGCTTTTATCATTATTTACTAGTATTTTCTCCCTGCCAATGTGGCTGTTTCAGGCTAAGCAACATACTGTAAGGTAGGGATGAATGTCAAAAGTCAATATCGGGTTAGGGTTCGGCCTGACAAATTTTGTTTGGGTCTAAAAATGTCATTTCGGTGCATCCCTACTGTAAGGACTTCCTATCTCCATTGTCATATGATGAGGGTGCTGTCACGATTACAGGAATAAACACTAAACCATTTTTCCCTAATCATCTTCCAGGACAGCAACCTGAGAGATGATTGGTTCCACCTTCTACAGGAAACACAATTAGTAAAACAGTTAAAAGCCCCTCCCCTTCCCCTCGTACCTCAGTTTAGATTGTGTTTCCTACCGTCCAGGACCACGTCACGTTTGTTCTTTTCTTCCTGACCGGTTGGCCTTGAGGTAATGGATCCCCCTCTGTGCGGCTCTGCTGTGGAAGGTGTTTTTCCCTCCCTTCTGGCCTTGCTGTAGAGCGGAGGGGTGTTTTCCCCTATGTTATTTTAACAGGCCAGGATCTGGTTCCTTTCTTCCCTTAAAGGATCCACTCCTGAGGCCCCCAGGCCGGTGGCCCTGTCCTGCTTTCCCTTGCTTGATGTAAGGGAGCTGGTAGTGGGGTTCTGTAGCGGTGTCCGGCATGCTGGAGCGGTGGCTTGGGCGGGCAGTGGACTGAGAGGCACTTCCGGTGTGTTCCAAGCCTCGACTTGGAGCACATATCGTCACTTCCGGTCACGGGTGATTGCCTCACTTCCGCTGTGCGCTCTCTGCTGTGAGGTGTGTTGGAGCTGTGGAGCCCGGATACCAGGACAGACTGTGGGGGAAGAAACCGCTAACACTGCCCGATGGAGGAGGAAGGCAAGCCAGCGGTGACTGTCCCCAAGGGTAAAGGGGTGAGTAAGGCTGTGCCTGTTTACACTTTTACCTGGGACACTTTGTGATCTTTGCAGTGGGGGTTGTGCACTTATCTGCTTTTATTTTACTATGCAGGAGTCTTCAGGAAAAGTGTCTCCTCAGTGTTCTGTTTCACTGTCTGCCCCAGCTACCGAGTTAACTAAGAAGCGCTGCGGCAGCTGCAATTTGAAGCTTCCCTCTGGTTATTCTAAACCTCTTTGTGACTTATGCCTTCAGAAGTTACTAGCCTCTGAATCCACTAGTTTTATTAAAGGTTTTCTGGATTGTATGAAGACAGAAATGGTGGCTACGGTTCAATCTTTTAAGAGTCCCGTGGCTGATATGTTGCCGTCCACCTCTAGTGCTCCTATGTGGACGGGGGCCAGTCTTCCTGGTACCTCAGGGGTACAACAGAAACCAGTCTCTCTCACTGAGGATTTGGATAGAGCAGTGTCAGATTCTGGCTCCGGATCAGAGAGTTCTCTGGAGGAGGCCGAGACCATTGAGGAGTCTGCTGAGTCTCGTCCGTCTAGGCATTTGTTTTCCTTAGAGGATATGGATTACTTGCTTCAGGCCATATACACCACTGAGCAGATCCCTGATCCCCCTAAAAATTTGTCTGTACAAGACAGAGTTTATAGAGGTTTGATAGAGCCTCAGGGAAGAGTTTTTCCCATGCATCAGTCGTTAAAGGATTTGATAGCAGGGGAATGGAAGGATCCAGAGAGAAAATTCTTGGTTTTCAGATCCTGGAAAAGAAGGTTTCCTTTTAGTAAAGAGGAGGAGGACAAATATTTTAAATGTCCCAAATTAGATGCATCTTTAGCGCAAGTTTCTAAGAGTGCTGACCTTTCGTTTGAGGATGCAGGTACAATAAAGGATCAAATGGATAGAAAGGCAGAGGCAATGT